CTGTATGCCTATGATTCATAAGTTTGGTCTTTTTGTGGTGTCACACAATTCCTGCATATTCCATTCTTGTGATTTCTTAAATTTTTCAGAATCTTTGCTTGAGTGGTCTAGTTCGTCCACTTTATCTCCCAGTCTTGATACTGTTTTCCATTTCATTCATCCTATTGGTGAGGCTTTCTCCTGTCATTTCTAATTGGCGTACTGAGTGTTTCATTTCCTTCTTCATTTCAGCCTGAGTATTCTTGAATATTTTTTAAACTCTTTTCTGAATTCATTGAATTTTATCCCTATCTTCCTTCAGTTCTTTGATTTCTTTGTGTGTTCTTTAAATTCAATGCATTCTTTTATCATGTTTATAATTGTTCTTTTGAGCCCCACATCCTGTGTCATCTCTAGGGGATTCTCATTGTACTCCTCTAGAGGGCTTTTGGTATTTGGTGGCCATATGTTATTTTAGTTTGTCATATTATTTTTTCTCTGTGATTTTGACATGTGAATTTCTTTTGTAGTTTCTGATTCTTGTGTGAGACTCAAGCCTTCAAGTTTAGGCCTGCTTCTTTTTTGTGAACTTTATGTGTCTTTGTGGTTTACTTTTTGGCCATGAAAAGCTGGTTCATCTAGGCTTCCGGTTCTCTCTTTTGATTTTATATTGGAGTGGCCAGATTGCTTTTGTCTTCAGCAGATGCCACAGAGGCCCAAGTCAGATGAGGATCAGATGCTCTCAGGCTTTCTCCTAAGGTCTGGATCCCTTCAGGAAAGATTTTGCCTCAGGAATTTGGGGGTTGGACTGGCCTGGGAGCCAGGCTCATGAAAGATGCTTGTCTAGGGCAGCTGGTGGCCATGCCACCCAGAGATGCAAAGGAAGGTGGGTAGTAAAGCAGCCCCAAGGGCTCCTGGGGACTGCACCGGGGAGCTGGGTTGGTCTGGATGCCAAGGCTCAGGAAGAGGAAAGGTAAGCTCTGGGGTCCAGGAAAGAGGCTGGCAGGTTGTGCAGGCCCAGGGAAGTAGAGGGAGGTGAGGGCGGGGCCAGGTCCAGAGTGCTCCTGGGGACCAGAGAAGGAACTGAGTTGGTCTGGATGCAAAGGATCAGGAAGCAGTTGTGGTTCCCCAGGTGTCTGGAGTGCCAAGAGAAGGGAATGGGACAGGACCCAGGCTAGGTGGAGAGACCGGCAGGGGAGATGGGAGGGTGAATGAGGCTGGGGGAGTCTAGGTGCAGAGGGCAAGACTGACTTACCCCAGAGAGAGAGGCCTGCGGGATGGAGAGAGGGCTGCACATCATGCAGGCCCAGGGAAGCAGCTATTTATTGGTCTTTTTGAGATGGTGTCTCCCTGTAGCCCCAGCTGGCCTGGAGCTTTGCTATGTAGACCAGGCTGGCCTCAAACTCACAGAGATCTGCCTGCCTCTGCCTCCCAAGTGCTGGAATTAAAGGTGTGTGCCACAAAACCGGCTAATGTGTTATTTTATAAGCCTACTGAAAAAATACACACATACGTGAATGCGTATGTATAGCTGAAGATTATATAACAAAAATCACAGTGCCAGGCAAGGGAAACCTTCCTTCAAGTTGTTGGTCAGGGTAGTCCAAGAGACTCCCAAAATAATATAGGCTGTTGCCATAGCCGTTTATTGCCTCTCAGAGCTTGATGGTAAGACCTGATTACTAAAGATACCATATACTTTGAACACAAGACTTTGAGCAATTGAGCTAGAACTGACCTGGAAGCGTCCTCCCCAAAGACCAGCTCTCATAGTATCAGAAGGTGCTATGTAAGCTGCCAAGGAAGAAAACCAATCAATGATCCTACCCAGCTGTAAAGCCTATGAACCACAACAACGACTTACCTAGCAAATTATCTCTATTGATGTGACAGTGGCACTTTTACCTTGGGGGTAATCAACAGCTAATTAGATTTAAGGTCTGCTCAGTGGGAGGGAATTCATGGGTGGTACATAGCCAAGTACACATGACTGGAAAGGTCATGGACCCTAGAGAAAAACCTACCATTGTCATTTCCTAGACCAATGTAATTTCTTACTATATTCTAAATATGTATTTTTATATTCATGGACAAGTGTAGCACTCACCACTCATCAAAAAAGCTTCTTTTTGCAACAGATGGAGACTGTTACAACGTTCTGCTGGCCAAAATGCAGAGAATAAGGCCAGGTGTGGTGGTGCACACCTTTAGTCCCAGAACTTCGGAGCAGAGGCAGGCAGATCTCTGGGAGTTCAAGGCCAGCCTGGTCTACGTAGGGAGCTCCAGACCAGCCAGAGCAACAGAGTAAGACTCTGTCTCAAAAAGACCAAAACAAACAAACAAACAAACAAAAAACAAAAACAAAACAAAAAAACCAAATAACCCCCCACAAACCAAGCCAAAGGATAGTAACTTGATCCTATGTATATATGGTCTAAAAGAAGCACTTAGGCATGAGAATTTATGAGATAAACTGTGTCTTAATGCAGAGGGTACACTGTATTTCAGTATGAGATGATGCATCATTGAACTTATTCCTCACTTTCTTCACTTTCCACAAAGGATTCAAAAGATTATGACATATCCTTCAAGACAGGATATATTCTTTAAAAGATACAACCATAGGCTCAGCAGTTAAGAACACTGGTTACTCTTGCAGAAGACTGGGGTTTGAATCCTAGCACCCACATGGCAGCTAACAACTGTCCGTAACTCCAGTCCCAGGGAATCCAACAGCCTCTTCTGACCTCCGTGGGCATTGCATGACACGGTTGCACTTACCTATAGGCAGGCAATACACACATACACATAAAATTTAAAAAAAATTAAATTTTAAAAAAAGAAAAAAGTTTTAAAAAAAGAATTCATTAAAAAAGATACAACCATGTTGTTGTAGCAAGTGTCAAATGAGAAAATAAACAAAAAGAATATTTTATATACTAGAATGAAAAATAGAAAAGATGACATAGAAAAATAAGATGATTCCCATTTCATCAAAAATTTATGTGGATCAAGTCATGATACATGAATACCTCTATTATTTCTATGTAATAAAAAGGTCCCCGTGAATGTAGGAAATTTTTATTCATCCAACTAGGAGCTTAAGACCTCACCCTATCAATAACAGAGGCAGGCTCAAAAAATGTAATATTTGGTTCAAAATTATTTTCCCCAAATATGAGAGCTACATTAAGGAGATGGAAAATAGAGTGCTCTCCATTAGGATGCTTCCTGCAAACTCCTTAAGATGTAGTGTCTTTTGTTTGTTTTTTCAGACAGGGTCTCCCTGCAGCCCCAGTTGACCTGGAACTCACTATGTAGATAAGGCTGGCCCAGATCTCACAGAGATCCACCTGCTTCTGCTTCTCGAATGCTGGGATTAAAGACATGTGCCACCACACGTGGCTGTAATAGTGTCTTAATTATTCAAGGTAACTTTTTTCTTTCTTTCCTTATATTTTTACTTCCTTTGCTCTCTTATATCCCTCTGTTGACCCCAAGGAACACTCTGGATCCCAGCTTTCCTTTTATTGCTTGACTAGAAGACAGACTCTGCTTAATGTCACAGTTGAAGAAACAACCAGAAATTGTACTCAGTCATTTAGCTCACCACCACAAAATAAGAATTCTCTGGACTTTATCAAAATAGTATGTTGGCAATCTTTTTACTTTGTAGAGTAAATATAACACAACGGATAGCTTTAGAACAAGCTAACATCACTATGATCCAGGCATGTGCAACTGGTGCAGTTCAGTAGTACATAAACATCTCCAACAAACATACTATGGGCCAGAAACTTAAGTTATAAAATACAGTCAATGTTACAATTAATACAGAGAAAAAAAGCCATTGCTCTTAGAGTCTGCACACTTAAAAAAAACCCCACAACTTTATACAATGATCGAAATTATGCATTTCTACTTAGATGCTCAGGGCATGTTCCAAACACATAGAATCCTAAGATGTGGTCACATTGTGGTTTTGTTCCAGTGGTACACAATCACACAAAATGTTCTGTTTTGGGATAAACATTTGGCTGAAGTGCAGTAGCTACCGAGATAAAGATAGCTTTATAAAAATCTTTAGACTAAAATAATCCTCAACATTAGAATTCTAATTAGGATTATTTTGAAAGTCTTTATGAAGAGGCCTTAAGAATTGCAGAAATAGAAGCAGTTAGGAAATTTCAGTGTGTTTTGTTTTTTTTTTTTAACAGGAGTAAACAAATACTGGATTTAAAGTGCAGCTTTTTTCTCTTCTCCCTTTGATTCTCCCTCGCCTAAGATCAGTCTGTATTAATGTTCAGAATCTCGACCGAAGATTAGATTCAGTGGCGGTCAAGTGTGTTTGTCTCGAAAGTCACTGATGGCCTTCCACAGTATGCACAGCATCCCTCCCCTGTTTAAAGACAAAGAACAAGCTGATGAGAACTTTTCATTTGAAATAATGCCCTTGAAATATAAAAGTGGCTTCTTTCTTACTTTCAGCTGCTTCAATCAGAACATGAAGATCCCAGAGTTACCAGTCATTATGTATTCTTTTTATACAACATTTTTTTACCACCCCGTCACTCCTTTCCTTTTCACTACTAAAAGTATCAAGGCACCCAGACATCATTTCACATTTTCATCATTTTTGAAATGTGTATTTAGAGGGGGTATAAGCTATGGAACCACCTGGCCTATAGAAAAAACTATGACAAGAAATTGTATCAGATGATACTAGGTGTTCGGATGGCAAATCAATGTTGCATCTGTTGTTTTCTCATATAGCCCTGAACATTAGAGTATTTCTTCATAGCAGCCTTAGTGTATTTGCATGGGCTAGGTCTGCAGTATTACTTAAAAAAACCCTTCCAGTTGATTTCCACTTACTTAAACAGAAATACTAGTTATTATATCTCCCCTAATAGCTTGACCCATCTAACTCAGTTTACTCAAAGTGGCTGAAAACCAGAGAGCCCTTCCTGCAATGCAGCACTGGTTAAAGACCCTGCAGGGCAGGAACCCAGACTTCCTGTTTTTAACCCAAGGTTCTTTCCCTCTTGACAACCAAAAATAAAGAAGAAAATGGTACCTCAGTCTGAGGCATTTTAGATCATCACGTGTAACATAGTAGAGAACATCGACTAGTGTGTAATCCTCAGCCAGAAACTGTCGAGAAAGTAAAGTATTTACACAAGTAAGATGCATTAGGTACCTTTAATAAATAACATCCAGACATAACATAAAACATTGCTAATAACTAAAAAATGAATCTAAAAGGAAATCCAACCCAAACCAGAATCTTTTGGAATTATAGAGGAAAAGCCTTCTAGTTACATAATTAGAAAAAAATGCATCCATGTGATCCCAGTGCTAGAAAGTCAGAAGTGACACAGGTTAAAACTCATTTGTAAGCACACCTGCTGCTCACATGAATGTCTGTACTGAACAAGTTTAGTGATTCCTAGCTTTGTTTGCTCCCAAGTGGATAAGAAATATTTCTAGGATGTTACTGCTTATATTTGCTCTCCAAACTTTTTCAGTGCTAATAAGAGGGACCTTCCTATAATTCACTGCAGAGCCAGTCCTAGATGTAATTGAAACTTTTAACTTTAAAGCAAATAAAAATGGCAGTGAGTTAGTGGATTATTAATTATTCCTTGATTATCATATGAATCTAAGTTAGAGGGATAAATATTTTGGAGAACTTGATTGAGTGTATTATTTTCCATTTGCACGAGAGTAATTTAACTTAGCAGTGAGTTATAAAATGCAGATTTCTAAGGATACCCTAAATTTTACTTAGTAGTACAATATATTATTGAAAAAAAATTTATTTTTAGTTATTTTAAATATAAAACTAAAGACAATGTAACATTATTAAGAGGTCCTTTCTATAAAATAAAAATATTATATCTCTTTTTAAATTTTAC